TCTTTTCATTTTAATTTATTTTACTATATTTAATTTAATTTCATTTCATTCCATTTCCCCACCCAAGGGTTTCAAGCTACGTTGACACGGCTCTCCTCACCTTCACTTTTCGGGAATGATATCAAGACCGTCCTCCTCACAGCAGAGTATCAGACCCAAAATCGCTTTCGGTTCAAGGTGTGTTTTTCACCCTGTTGTCGGCAAGATTTTGGCCTGACTGGTGCACAAGGGAGATGAAGCGGAGTTGTAAAGGCAGATCAATTCCCTTTCTCACCCCATGACTCCCACCAAAATACATCCTTGTACTTCCAATAAAAAATTTTGACCAGGAGAAGCTTTTTTGTACCCAGAGGAGCAGCAGTTTAGCCCAGCAGGGTTTGTGCATGAAAAATTGCAAATACCTTTAAAAAGATCAGATTTTATCTTATTTCCATTTTTTTACCCCCCTCTTCATTGGAAAACAGTTTTGGGCCAAATACGTTCATTTATGTCTATCTCACAATTGTTTTGGCGGAAAGCTTTAGCTCTTCCAAAGCACTTTGGTGTTTTATGGAAAATTCAGCACTCGTTTTGTAGTAAATCTGCCCATATCCATGGATTTTTGGGGCTGGGCAGGACTTCTGTTTTTTGTTGTTGTTGTGGGGGTTTTTTCGTTCGGTTGGTTGGTTTGTTTTGCGGGGATTTGGTTTGGGTTTTTCCCCCTTTTTTTTCTTGTTTTTAATTTTCTCCGGGCTGGAGGGTGCCACACGGTTTCCAGCCCAAAATCTGAGAGTCGGGCTGGGTGTGGTTCCAGCCGGCCAAGGTAGGTCGTGTAGAAAGACTGAAAACGAGATGCTGAAGAAGGGCTGGGCAATGCCTACAAACAGAGTCATGCACAATTCCGCCTCCTGCATATTTCCCATGGGAAAAATACCCTCGGATCAAGCAATAATGGGAAATATCCTCGTACCTACCAAAAATAAAGAGTCTGGGTAGGTTTGCGCAGCCTTAATTTTGCCATTTATTGATGACCGCTTCTTGTTGTGATGCCGTTTTGACGACGGGTGGGGTTTTTTTTGTCAGGTCAAATATGGGGGGTTGTGCTGGGAAGTGTTAAAATGAGGCATTAATTTCTAAATTACTTCTTTTGTTCTTTAAACGTGCATAGATCACTGATCCTAAAAGGCAGAGATTTGAAGTCCCCCATGAGCATGTGGGACCCTTCAGCGGTCCAGCAGCCTCCAACTTAAAATATGAAGTTGATGTCCAGCAAAATCCCTTTGGCATCATGGTGACCAGAGCCAGCAACGGAAAAGTTTTGTGAGTAAATTTTGGGCTTTTTATCCATAAAATTGTGATGCCATCTGTTTTCTCTGGAGGTCTGTGTCGTGTTAGGTGCCCTCTTGGTTGCGCAAACTGCTGCTTCTTTCTTTTGATGGATCGACAGTATGGAAAGACTCTTTCCACGTAAAACTTGGGAGTTGGGGAGGTCTATCTCACAGGGTTTAGGCTTTGCCGCGCTGGCTCTGTGCCCTCTTCTGCCCTTAATCCCGGGGAGAATTGATGAATTGTGCCATCTGTTCATCAGTTATGATGAGAAGTCCTCCCCAGTCCATCCTCCCATCGCCGTTTACTGCATCTTTCCTGTCTTATTTATGCTGCTCCTCCTGAAGGGCTCAGCCCCCAAAATAAGGTTGCGCTTCAGGTGTGTGATAGGAGGCTATTTGGTACCCACCGGTGCTAAGCTGGTCTTAGAAAATTGTAGAGTAAAATATTCAGAGAACTTTTGAAGGATTTTAATCTCTGTTTTCTAAAAAAAAAAAAAAAAAAAAGCCAAATCCACACCTAAAGAGAGCAAAGCTGGGCTAACAGCCCTGCACTGAGACCCACTGAAAGGTGGAAGCCTCAGGAGTAAATATTTGTTAAATCAATTAAAAAGTGATTACGTAGCTGACTGGAGTCAGATCAACTTTTCAAGATTAATGAATTCGGATTTACTTTTTCTCCTGCTGTTAGCGTTGTTTGCTTTCTTAAAAGCCTCTCTAAAGACTGATTTACCCTTAGCGAGTGCACGAAAGACGGAGTGGGTACTCAGGACCGACTTAGCTGGCATGTGGAGGGGAGAATAATTTCATTCCATGGGACCTGTTGGAAACAGCACTCTAGAAGATTGCTTAGATTTTCCTTAGACTTTCATTTAATTTGGAAAAAAATATTGGGAACTATTTGAAACACTGCTCTGGAATATTGCTGAAATCTTCCCTAGGTTTTGATTTAATTTTTAAGAAAAGATATTGGGATGTTTGAAACACTGCTCTTGGAGATTGCTTAAATTTTCCTTAGACATTCATTTAATTTGGAAAAAAAAAATGTGGGGACCTGTTTGAAACAGCGCTCTAGGAGATTGCTTAGATTTTCCTTAGGATTTCATTTAATTTGGGAAAAAAAGTTGCATTTTCTGTTTTTAATGAAAAAAACCCCCACAATTAGTAAATTATTATTAAAAACACCCAGTATTTTTGCTGCAACATGCAACATGACTGGTTTGGGCCAAATTAAGAGACGCATATGACAGAATTAGTAGTGGCACATGATGCAAATGCTTTCTTAAATAACAGGTTGGGTTTTTTGGGGGGGACTTAGCGATATTAACGGATCCGACCCTCAGCATAAAATGTTTTATGCAACATTTCATCATTTCACCAGGTTCAATACCACCATCGGCCCACTGCTGTACGCCGAGCAGTTTTTACAGCTCTCCATCAAACTCCCCAGCAGCAACATCTACGGGGTGGGCGAACACGTGCATAAGCAATACCAACACGACGTCAACTGGAAAACCTGGCCCATATTCAGCAGGGACGTGGCCCCTTCTGGAGTAAGCGCTTATTTTATTACATTTTCCTTTTTTTCAGGTAAATGACGGAATCCAGCCATAGTTAGCACATTAATGATATCCACCGATTTTTTCTTTTTCCTTAAAGACTTGCCAAGTGTCGCAAAATGTGAGATTCCACTGAATAAAATCCCCGCTGGAATAGCTTTTCATAAATATTTTGATCTAATTGGTTGGGTTTTGATGCAAATCAGTGGGGGAACATTAATATCTGACAGGCTTTGCTTTTTGCTGGTTCTTCCTGCCCATGCACTGCTGCGTGCCAGAGGTGGTTGATACAGCAGTTTTCCTTTCGTGGCGTCGTATCTTAGGAGATCATGCAAAGTTGCCCTTAGCAGCTGTTGCTTTATAAAGCAAAAGAGGTCTGCCAGCAACTATTTTGTTTCTACATTTTCTACCTTTTTTTTTTTTCCCAAGGTGATTTCTAGGGCACCTGGTTTTCAAAAAGTATAACAGCTGTTTTCTTCCATCTGCGATGAGATGTTTTACCCTGGGCCTGCGAGTTTTTGACACGCTATTGCTCCGTGCATCAACTTGCAAAATTTATGATTTCAAATCAGTCATTGGTATTTATACTCATTTTTTTGCTTATTGCTTTTTCTGACTTGGACCCCCACACGCATTTTTTGGGGGGTACTTTGGGGGAAATAGACAGCCAAATGTTATTGCTGTGCTTAATCATAGATTTCAGGCTTGATGAGAAAAAGGAAATATTTGGTAGAGTGTGTAAGCCCTTGACAAGGTAATGTTGCAAAAAAAAAAAAAAAAAAACCCGAACCAAAAACCCCACCCAATAGGAAACATTACTTTTCTTGCTTCCTAGCATTGATTATACACCAGAAATTTAGTGTAGGTCATGAAATAAGAAATAATAAGAATATTTTTACATTTGCTTTTGAGTCCCTAAACCAGCTTATTTATAACTACAGCATTTCAGCCTCTAGTCAACATTGTTTTTCATTATTTGAGGTAATAATGAGATTAAACGAGTGTTAAACTGAGACTGTTTAATGCAGCATTGATCCTTATCCTCATTTGGAGTAAGTCCTGAAGTCTTTTGCTGAAATAGGAGTGACGCGAACGGGATTCGGGAGCAGCTCGATGTTTGCAGTTAATTCATGTTCTAGGAGTATCTTTCAAAGCTTCGAGACATCGTCTATGGGCTGCTACATCTATTTTGGGTTTTTGAACCAAAACCTGGAATTTGCCTCATTACCAGCAATACATGAAATTGTCGCCCTTATTTTCTTTCCATCCCTACTAGAGATGCAATTTGTAACTTTAATCTTTTAAATAATGGGTATGTGGGGTTTTGAAGATAGTTCTTATCCAAATGATTCCACTGAAGGTCGGTTTCCCCGAATTTATGCTTTCAACAGGTTTTAAGCAACTTAAAGACATTACCATAAAAGAGAGAAATAAAAATAATGAGGTTAGTGTTGGCAATTTTATTGTTGCTGTTTGTTTCCTTTAGACAAATGGTTGGACTGGATGATCTTAAAGGTCTTTTCCAACCTAAACGATTCGATGATTCTATGACAAGCTTAACCTCACATGTAATGTATTTTTGAGATACTGCAGGATGCGTATAGTTACTGCTTTTTTTAATCAGCTTTTATGTTTTCCTTTAAGAACACGGATAACTTATACGGGGTTCAGACTTTCTTCTTATGTTTGGAAGACAACACTGGAGCCTCTCTTGGTGTTTTCTTGATGAATAGCAATGCCATGGGTAAGGATGTATTTGCCATCAGTATTGCAAAAAAATTAAATATATTAATTAAATGATCTGCAATGCCATGGGTGAGAATGCCTTCTTCACAGCTCTAAGTATTGGAAAAAAAAAAAAAATTAAATGATCTGCAGGGCTATTGCACTGTGATCCTGATGAGCTGATTTAGATTTTTTTAAAAAATACAGTCACATGTTAAACTTTGAAGAAAGTTGTTTTAAATCTGTGACTGCAGCCATTTTTTCAAAGCATTTACTCATTTTTCCTGTACAACCAGCATTAAGGTTGTATTGCAAGACCAGTGTCATACATCTCGTGGGCATTTTTGCTCATGTTCAGGGATGTTTCAGTACAAGATATTAAAATCTGAGCCTAAATTTATAGTGAGCAGCAGTTGTATATATATGTCCTTCATTTCTCTTAGATAAGCGTGTACGTATTTGGGTGCTTAACAAATATTCAAGCATCTTGAGACTGAGAATTTAATGAGAATAGGTTGTGTCACTGGATTTCTCTTCTCTTTCTGGACTGTAAAGGAACATAAGTATGGACATACAGGAAAAAAAGCTGAAAATACTCCACCTGCGTTGCAAGCTCCAGTAATGGTTTTGGGTTTCCTTAAATAAGTTTGTTTGATATTTTCTCCTAAACAATTTTTATATCTTTCGTATGGGCATGTCACGACCCAACCTGGGGTGTCCAGAGAGGATCGTGGAGGTTCTGTGATTCCCTTGGGCTTTCAGCGAAGCCAGCGAGGCGAAGGGCTCTGGAGTGGAGGATCGCGCCGGGGGGGCCCCTCCTAAAGCGGCAAATGGGTAGCAAAAGCGCAAAGGCAAAAGCGCAGGGAGAGAGAGGGCACCCCCCCGAATCCCTCCAGGCAGGAGCAGCCCCCAGGAGGGCGGGGGGTGGCAGATGGCACGGGCGGGGCACCGTCCCCTCTTGGCTCTAAAGGGCAACTCATAGAATCATGGAATCATTTAGGTTGGAAAAGACCTTTAAGATCATCCAGTCCAACCATTAACCTACACT